AGCAAGCTCTTATTTTTTAACTCGAAGGGCGGCCGATGTAGTTTCTGAGGGTTGCTTTACTGTGATGACCGGAGATCGCCATGATGAGCGAGCCGCGACGAACTTCAGCATGGTCATATTCGCTCAGACACCGTCATGATTAGTATGAATTTTAACAATTATGCCAGTTTGGTTATATTTTTCATCATTTCTGTTTTGTTCTGTTTTGTTTTTAACATTGAACTTCATATACTACAGGAGTATTAGCTGAGTTTGATTTTTATTACCGTACGTAAGCTTGCAATCTAACTGAGCGTGAAAATCTTTAAAACTCGGAATGTTTATTTTGTTTTTCCTTTGAGGATTTTCGTATCTGCTCACGTTTTCATAACGTAAATTACGGCGCCTGGTATGTTTACAAACCTTTGTTTGATTCTTCTGTTGCTACTTACTGGCTCGCTTCAGTTCTGAAATTTCACGGAAAAAGCTAAAGAGAAGTCCCGGAAAAGGTCGAACATAGTACAATTGGGAGATGGCGTGACAGCTTTAGCTCAGCTCTATGCTCTATACTCTCATAGAGCACACTCTTCCAACCAGTGACAGCGTGCGTTATATCCGGACTTTATTATGATATAACAAAGCGCGCGTGCTTGCCCTAAATAAGTCCTATTGAGCTGCTATCAGCAAAATCTTTATTTACGCACACCCGTGTGTAAATAAGATGACGTGAGTATTTTTTTTTCACCTGGCTTCAGAGTTTCCGTCCTGTTAGGCTGCAGTACAGTTTTCCTTCTCTTTGAAATATGGAAGAGACCATCGAAGAACTGCCCAATTTTTCTATCGGCATCGACCTTTTAGGTCCTTATCCAACAAGCAACAAAAATAAAGCCGAAAAAAACTCGCAAGTTGCACGTTTCGCAAATTTGTCGGAGGACGAGGTGCAGCAAATTTTGGCCGAAAGACATTCACTGGGAACAAAAAAGGTGACCAATTGGTCATCTGCAAAATTTAGGGTAAAATTTCCGCTTTTCTTGTTGTTTTAACTTTGTTCAACCTGGGGAATAAAGTACACAGTAGTTAATGGGCAATTTACCAAAACCAAAACAATCACAATTGTAGTCTATCACAATAAAAGGCTTCTTCGCGCAGATCCTTGTCGTCGTTCAGTTTGTTATAAAAGAATTCACTCATACTTTTAGCTGTGCGTATATCGAGTTATGGATGCACTTGAGATAATAACGTAACGTCAGAAGAGCGGTGTTCTTCTAGTTTACTGTTATGTTTTGATCTAAATTTGATGCGCCATAGTATACTGCACCATTACCTAAAAATAACAATTTGGTCATCATCAACTGGAGCTGTCATGGTCTCCATTTAGGGCAGTAGAGGTTTCCATATGTCAGACACGTTCACCCAGACTGTAGGTGGAAGTTATAATCCCATAATCAACAATCATTGTCAATATGTGTTTTGGCGTTCGACTTCGCAAATATTCATTTAGTCTGGGTTGCCTCATTTCTTGTTTACACCAGGAAAACGTTATCCATCTAAAATGGAAATTTTCGGGAAATGTTCTACTTTAATTTTTTATGAGGAAGAGACTTATTATTCTTTCCTGTGATCAGCACTTGTCATGTTCTGCTGGCATTTAAATATTACCCTGAATCAGGTGTAGTCTCCAGAATCACGTTTGAATCTAAACTGGGATGTCTTCCTTAATGGAACTTGTAAAATAACCATCAAAGGCTATCTTAGATTAAAAAATTTGAAATACGTCTTCGGGTCAGTGAAAATAACGAAATTTTCGAAAAATGGCTTTCTGCAGTTGGGATTTATTTGGCAAGGAATTGGGGATTTAAGATCCAGGGCTGTAAATATTACAAATGAATGAGGAGACAAGATATGGGAGTTTCGTCAGTTGGATTCGAAAAGACACATCGGAAAAGCTACATAAGACACCCACTATAATCCGCTGTAACAATAAATCAACCATGTACACATATTTTCCAAAATTCTGATTACTAAAAAGTCTTAGCGAAGACCGTGTTACCACGCAACACATACGAAATAAAAAAATGATAATAAATTCAATGTTTTTCAGTTATTTTGAAAACTAATAAGTCTTTTAAAAATATCGATGGCGACGGCGTAGGCACTCTGCCCGCAAAAATAGCTGCATAGAAAAAAGTAAACATATTTTAAGTAATTTGTATAACAAAACGAGTGTATTCGGAAAGCTACAACACACAAAAAACCTGATTCAGTTGTAGATGGTAGGTGATGTAAGCTTCATTCCTCTGATGTAATTTGATCATACCATGAGCTTATCTTTTTTGTGGAAATGAATTA